AAAGTAATCATAATACGCAAAACATAGCAAATTCCAATTATTTGAATCATTCTAAAAATATTTTTATATTGTATAACAGCTGTTTTGAAATCAATTTGGCATACTTTTATACATAGTCTGTGGCAATCAGCAGTTCAATTGACAGTGCAACAACTTTGTTTATCACAAAATTTGTAATAATGTTAATCTGGTTTACGTGGATAACTTGAACCATAAAGCTGAAAATTTATTGCTCATGTGATGGAATAACAAGTAACAGTAATGAGTAAGCCATTAAGAACTGATTATTCAACATATTTCGAGTAATAATCTTGAAATATTAAGATTATTTGAATTTGAAAATGGAATTTCAATCGAAAGCAAATTACTTAACAAAATTTAAATTTTACTAACTCAAAAATAAAGAAAAGCTGTCATTGGTCTTGTAGTGTTTAAGATGCATTTAAGATGAAGGGTTGGTTTCCAACTTTAACTATGCGTTTAGTTTAGTCATTTTGAAATATTTGGTCCATAAGAAATTTAGTAAAATTAATCGAAATTATCATATAAAATACAAATTAATCGTTTCTAAAGAAATATAGTTAATGTTCTATACATCTTCAATTGCATACTTAAAACCGAAGGGCCGTTTTGAAAAACTTTATAAAAAAATTGAATTGTAAAATACAAGAACTAAGCGGCATAATAGTAGAGCAGAAGTAATTTTCTTCTTTACATGACTTTTGCGCCGGCCGAATTTCCGTATTAATTTCGGGAAAATGCGCTAAAAAACTAGGCAAATCAGTTTTTATAAGCGAGATAACTGACAGTCAATCAGAACACAAAAAAGTCTAAGATTCATCTGAACTGATTTTCAAGAGTTTTTTTCTAAACTGATAAACTTTTTTTGGGTGCTTCGAATCTGAAGTTCTGGAAAATTTTTTTAACACAAACAATTTTTTAAATACGAAAAAATACCTAGTAATGATTTTGGATGTCAAGCTTAGATGGAAAAAACATGTCAAGGAGAAAAAAAATAGAATTAGAAAACAAATGTAGAGAAAACTATTGGCTTCTAAGCTGTGGGTCTAAGTTGGCTATATGCAACAAAGTGTTGATATATAACTGAATAACAAAGTCTATATGGACATATGGCATACAAATATGGGTTTGTGCCGAGCATACACATATCAAACAAATACAAACTTTCCATTTCGTAAGGAGTTTCGTAATAGGGTGGGTAGTTTTTATGTAGTTTCAGGTATGTAAGCAAAACAGATTGGGGTAACTTCACAGTAAGTAATAAAATAAGGAATTGTACCATGAAGCGTCCCCTATAGTACGTTTGGAGTTAGGTGTTGTACCAACTAACACACATATTCTATATTATTTAAGTATAATATACTCATAAATATTTATTATATCAATTTCCTAATAATTTTTCATACCATCTTTGTGAAAAAATTAAATTTTAATTATAAATTCAAATCAAAATTACAATAATTTAGTCTGAAAACAAATTAAAAAACAATGGTGAATAAAATTAATTTAATTTTTGAAGTTTTTACATTGTTCTTTTTGTTTGTTTTCTTTTTTTGAAAAGTTACGTGTTCTGACAATTAAGGTGTTCGAATTAATTTATTAGAGGTAACAATAATAAAACAAAAAATTTTAACACATAAATAATTTTTTCCACAATAGGTTTTACTAGGTAGATAGGTACATATATTTTGTAGTACATAGTATACTGAATAAAATAATTTCAGGGTTGGAACTACAGTAAATTTAAGATAATAATTTAATCGATCAGATTTGAGATTGCCGATTTGTGGATCGCTCAAAACCCTGGTGGTTGGCAATCGAGGAATACTAAATACTACATAACATATTGTATTATGTGAAACAAAGATTTGTTGTGGATGTTGTTTCTTCCGTATCCTGATATACATATATAATTGATTGGGTGATTTCGACTCAAATCGATCTTATAATGTTGCATTTTTGCAATGACAACTGGTAATATAAGGTATAAATTAAGTATTGAAGGTTTTATCAGCTGGTTGTGTTACGTTCGGATAATCTATTCTGCTAAAGGTATGTTTTCATACTATATAAATTTTGATCTGCAATCGTCTATTTCAAGTTGTTGGTACCTCAATTTTGCTCAGTGAAATATGAATAAGCAATGGCGACTCAATATTTAATTTGAGTAGCTTTAGTCTTGCCACAACCGTGGCTGTGCCACATTTTGGTTAAAAATATTTTCAGCACAACATTTCACAAACTATGAAATAGTTGGTTATCTCTGACAAATAGTTATGTATATAAACAAGCACAAAACCTTATACTAACAAAAGAACTAAGTTATTTTTTTTTTGCATTTGTTGTTCGGTACTTGAATAATTGTGAAATGTAAGTGCACTTCACCACTCACGTTTTTATTGTTTTCCTATTAGCTTAACGTTATTTGTTTTTTTTTTTTTTTGTTAATTATACACACAAATACATAAGAGTAATATATTTTATTTGTGGTGTAATTTATGAGCACATTTTACAACATAGTTTTAATTTTTATTTATTTTTTTTTTATTGTTCTTTTGTAATAGATAAGTCATAAAGCCGTGCCATATTACGCTTGATAACTCTATACACTAGTAACAGATTGTACCAGACTTATATAGATTTTAAAAGTGAAGTAGAGTAAAAGTAAAAAAAAAAAAAGATAGAGAAAATAGAGAGATCTACACGAATTCAACTAATGTACATAATGAATTTTCGTTTTTTTGTTTAACGTCTATATGTAGTATGTGATGAAATTGAGTAATGTGGTCGTATGAGACCGAAAATAAACGAAACTCACATTTTCCGTTTTTATTTGATTTTTTTGTGAAATAAAAAAGGTAAAAGTTTTTTTTTTTGTTTTTTAAAATCTTTTATTTTCTATGGATTTTTTGTAATTCACAATGATTTATGTACGAGAGCTGAGTGTTGTTTAGTTTACACCATAAACTTTTCTTTTATACTATGTAAAGTGGGCCAATGCTCCTAAATTATATTAAAATTTACATAGGTAGAATTGTATAGCTATTTCACTATTTTTTCGGTTCATTATATAAAAAATTTTTGAGAAGTCTTGTTATTGTTCTCCTTTCAAAATGCGCTCATTGGCTTAACCAATACTCATCAAATAGTTCTGCAGTACTTGTAAGAAATTGAGTATTCTTGGTCTCAGTCAAATAATTCCGGAGTAATGATTACAAGGAATTTTACATTTTCCTGATATTTTAGTAGAATATTTGCTAGTTCAATGCTCAAATAACAAATAACGAGTTGAAGCAGGCAGTCAAAGTAAGTAATATACCGATTTTGCTGATTTGTGGGACACTACCAAAACTTTTGACAATCATTGTATGAAAATCATCTTCATTTCAAAAGCAACTGCGGTATGTACACTTCGGCATAATTCATTTACAAGAATCACACAGAAATTTCAACATACCATTTATTTTTTCACAATTTTCAGAAAAAAGCTTTAGTTTCCATTACTATTAAGCGCAATATTTAAAAAATTACAAAAATTAAATGAATAGCTGGGTAAATATTTTTTCAAATAAAAGAGAAAAATAAAAAAACAAGAAATAAACATTTTCTATTTTGTTTTTTATATTTTTTTTTCAGATTTATTTTAAAATTCAAAAGCTTTCAGCTTAAATAATCCAGTATTACTTTAAAAACAAATGGTTTTCAGTATTGAGAGTTTGTTTGTTGTATCTGTGTGTGTGGTATATGAAGATAATACTATACAATATGTATGTATATATGGAAATATATTAATTAAATGTAAACGATAATATATTGTAGGATATTATACTAATAGTATAATATTTTTGAATAAATTGCTAAATAATTTATATGCCATCTAGGATATTTAAGTTAATTTAAAAATTCTTCAAAAGTCAATAAGGTTTATTACATCGAATTATTAAATGATTTTAATAAATGTGCGTGCAGATGAAGATTGTTTGATAAATGGAATTGTGGGATTAAAATAATGCAATCTTATAATTTTAAAATTATTTATTATTTTAAGACGATTTATTCAGAATTATTTTGAAAATTATTGTGCATTTCAGGTTGATTTGAAGAGAACATAAGTGAATAATTCGCAAGATAGAGAAACAAATTCGATAATTTGGCAGCGGAAGCAGAATGTAAGCACTTTAAATATAGATTTGTGAAGATATTTAGAAAAAAACATTCTTTTCTATGATCAGTGAATTAGCACACGTTTGTGATTAATTAAACTAATTAAATATAGAAAATTAAAATTTAATTTTCTAATATCAAAAACGGCGTTAATGAGCCACACTTTAAGAGCGTAAAAGAATGTGAAAATCGAAATTTCGATGTAAAATCCTTTTACAACAAAACAAAATAATTTTTAAAACAATTCAAACATGATAGAACTATTGGACAGAAAATTTTCATTACCAAAACCTAATTCAATTCGACTACAGAATTCGACTACAAGTTCGACCGAATTATTCTATCGGCTGCAGACTTTTCACGCTGGAGACCAGCTGCGGATATTGGTACGGCTTATTGAGAAGTTTGCGTGGTCCAATCATGTATTTTTAAGGTTCGAGGAGAAAATATTGTCACAGCAGTAAATGCCATGCTCTTCTAGTTCATCTACCATATCTCTCTTCGAAATATTTCCTGCATAGTACAACTGCCAACCAGGAAAGAAAACTCTTCCGATACTTCTCGACGACTTTTCTATAACTGTATCTGTTACCGGGATCATAATGACCATATTTATTACAAACGTATACACAACAGGTCTACAAAAAATCATGGGAACACACGGTATGGGGAGTAAAAACAATAACGGAGAAAGACTGATAGAACTCTGCCAGACCTTCGAACTCAGCATCTGCGGTACCATCTTCCCCCACAAAGATATACATAAATATACGTGGTACTCGCCAAACGGGAAGATAAGAAATCAAATCGATCACATGTGTATCAGCCGAAGATGGAGAAAATACATGTTAGATGTGAGAAATAGAAGAGGAGCAGACATAGATAGTGATCACGAGCTGCTGACAGGCGATATCAGGCTGAAAATCAAAAGAAAAAGGCACTATAACAACAGAAACAAACGCTTCAATATACAGAAACTCCAGAACTCCCAAACTGCTTGCAGATATACCAGTAGAATGCGTGAAAAGTTACCACTTGACCAAGAACACCTGTGGGAAGAAATTGTGACTAAGATTCAAGAGACTGCCGAAGAAATACTAGGTAGAAAACAAATACAACGCAAAACATGGATCTCTGACGAGACTTGGGACCTCATCAATAAAAGGAGAAATGCTAAGCAACTAACGATCAATGAAAACAACAACAAGTCTCCACAGTACCAGAGCTTAGCAAAACAAGTAAAGAAGACTGCTAGAAGAGACAAACGGAGATATCTCGAAAGGATGGCGTCCCAGGCGGAGCAACACGCCAACCAGAACAACAAGCGTGGCTTGCACCGAATAATTAATAATCTCAACGGGCAAAAAGAAAACACAACCCGCCCTGTCAGAGACTGTAGCGGTAACCTAGTGACAAATGAAGAGGCCCAGACAGAAATATGGAAACAGCATTTCGAAACAATTAGCAACGTAACACATACGACCAGCGAAGAAGTGCATGATAGTAACCCAGTCAGAAGACAAACAAACTTAAGAATTTCTGAAGATCCCCCAAATATTAGCGAAATAAAAACAGTCATACAAAAACTCAAACATAACAGGGCTGCAGGCAGTGATGGCATAACAGCGGAATTACTTCAGGCAGACGCACTAACTATGGCCCACCTGTTAGAACCACATATTTCGCAAGCTTGAAGGGAAGAAAGGGTTGCGCAGTCATGGAAAAAGGGCCTTATCATCAAATTACCAAAAAAAGGCAACTTGACTCACTGTGATAATTGGAGAGGCATCCTACTATTTAACATAGCATACAACGTCTTGGCAACAATTATCCAGAACCGCTTAAGGGAAAAACTAGAGGAAACAATACGTGAAGAACAGGCTGGATTCCGCCCACATCGGAGTTGTGTCGATCAATCAAATACGCTTCGAATCATAGTCGAACAATCAATAGAGTACAGAACACCATTATACATGCTCTTTATAGACTACAAGAAGGCTTTCGACACAATTATGCGCGATGCAATATGGAAAGCGTTAAAAGATAGGGGAACCCCAGACAAAATAATCCGCCTGATCCAAGCACTGTACGAAGAAGCCGAGCTCGCAGTATTACACCGAGGAAAAATAAGCGAATCCTTCACCACCCAGTCAGGAGTCAAACAAGGTTGTCCACTTTCACCACTGCTCTTCATAATCGTGCTAGATAACATCTTGCAACATGTCTGCTCACAGAGAAGGGGCATAATCTGGAGTCTCACTCAACATCTGGAGGATCTAGATTATGCGACGTGCTTATTAAACTTGTGGGGTTAAATATAAACATAGACAAAACAAAGGCGATGAAAATAAACTCTACTAGCACAGCCAGTCTGGAACTCAATAACCAACAAATAGAGTTCGTTAGCAGCTTCTGCTACCTGGGCAGCATCATAACACCAGAGGGCGGGGCCCAAGAAGATATAGACAACAGACTGAAGAAAGCAAGAGCGGCGTTCGGTAGACTGCAGCCAATATGGAAAAGTAGCCAGATATCCAGAACGACTAAGGTCAGAATATCGCTAAAATGAGCTAAGAGTGGAACCCGCAGGGTTCAACAAGACCTGGACGCCCCAGAAACACCTGGCGTAGATCTGTAAAATCAGAACTAGAAAACGCAGGTCTAACATGGAGTCAAGTCAAGCAAATAGCCCAAAATAGAACAAGATGGAGATGTCAAATGGAGGCCCTATGCTCCCAAGAGGAGTAAGGAGAAAAAAAAAAAAATACACAACAGGTTGCGGAATTGGAATCGTATTCCCTTTCGCTTATTAAATTTCAGGAATTTTATATTCTCAATGTGGAGAATAAATCTCAAATTTTCTTCGGCTTTCGTCTCTTTAAAATCAAAAAATTGCATACTTATAGGAATTTGGATATAATGAAACTTGGCAACTAAGAAATTTCGCTTAACTAAAATTCCACAACTTTTAAATACAAAATTTATGTTTTATAAGTTTATAAAGTAAATGAAAATTAATTTTCTTTTTACCAAATGGGCTGAATAATTTAAAATTTTATTGAAGAACCCAAAAATATTTCTTAAAAAAAATTATTTTTTCTTTACACGCAGGTTGTTAAAGCAGATAATCCTTTTTCTTTGATGAAGAAATTTAAAAGTTCTTAAAGGTCTATAAAACCGTTATGTAAATGCTTTGCATTCAGATTGCATCAAGTATTAAGGCACCAATTATAGACCAAAAACCACTTCATTGCTTCACTTTTTTTTATCAATATTCTATTTTACTTTTTGTTTTTGTGTAAAACCATTTTTATTGATGTTATAAATTCTTTTGTATTATGGTTTAAGAGCCATAAACCTTTGGTAAACCTTTTGTAACTAAAAATTTTCACACCTTATGAGGTTTGTGGCATAATACTTCAAGAAAAAAGAAACAAAAATTAAAAAGTGAGAAGAGAATTAAGAAAAGAAGTAAAAATTTATTAAGTGACACAGCGGCATCTGTTAGTAATGTTGAAAACTATAAATTCTATATGAAAGAAAAGAAGCGTTTTTGTTGATTACTTCCAAATTTTTTTGTTGCATTTAGAAAAACCAATTAAATTGAATTTAGCATAAAATTATGAGATTTTTGAAACTGAAGACAAAAATTTAGTAATTTCATTAAGTAATTTAATATACAGCACACATTGTGCGCTCATAATGTATGCTGGTAGAATTGTGCGTTAGAGTTTGTCTTTGTTTATTAACAGATATTTGCTCATTTAGTTATGGTAAAATATGCGACTTAAACTTAATATTTTCATAAATATTTCTGCTACGTAATATTTGCCTTGTTAACCGCACTGGACGTAATGTTAAAATAAATTTAAATTTTAAATATTCAAATGTGGGTGACATTTTAGTTTTTATATTTTTGCAATTAAAAATTTCTACTCACCTCAGTAGATTGATTTTGCAAAGCATCCGGAATAAATAAGTTTTCAATAAATTCTGCAATTGTATGCATTCGAGACTTCCCAACTGCTAAAGAATTCTTCCTTTGGAGATTTTATTTGTGTTAACTAGCTATGTATGCGTTTTTAAATAAATGATAGAAATTTTTGAATTATTAAAATATAAATTTGAATGAAAAATGTATGTACATAAATTGAAAATGATTCTAGATTAAAAATTTTTTGAAATTTTTTTTGAAAAATTAAATATGAAAATGTATTTCGTCTGCGTTTATACAAATTTCAATAATTTTTAAACGAACTCAGTTCTAGGTTATGGAGATATGAATAAATTATTAGAAAAATCGTCCTTACACAAGATTTACATAATTATTATAAAAATATTGTGAATAAGAATAAGCTCTTCTTGTGGCATTTATGATAGTGCATCGGCCTAGAAACCGGCTCAGCCGTGTAGTAGGAAAAATATTGAATTTAATTTCTCTATCTTTTGATCCGTTCCTTTGTCTATAAAATATGCATTGTCCTTAATTGTAAATTAAAAATGGAATCGAATTTCAATAACAGAATGGAATATTGCTCCGCGATTAGATCTCAAGAGACTGTTTATTTCCATACTAAATTACTTACATCAATGTATGCAAAGTCCATAGGATACACAGTATATCTGAGAACAATACATATGCTATTGTTTCTTCAATTTTAGTAAACTAGTTTATGAAAATGTTCTATTAATTATTGAATTCTCAATACTTATTTGTCTTATAACAAACAGTTTTTATTAAAGAAAAAGGCCACATTTACTGAAATATTCAGATTGATGTTTTCTTGATCATACTGTTAGTAATTATAAGATTACTAATGCAGAACTTTATTTTATTCTCACAGTTCCAAGGAATATTAATTGATCCGAAGATGTTCCTGTCAGTCTTACTAATTTCATATAGGTATTCATTCAAAAAATCTAATATTTCTTTAACTAAGATGCATTTTTGGTCATAATTAAATTGGTTTAAAAATAATGTTTCTGAAACGCAATAATTGCGTGTTATACAATGCAACTTGCTTTCATTTTATTGTTTCATTTCGTTCCAATTTGCACACTTTTTTTTATACTAATGTGTTTATTTTATGTGATCTAAAATCATTTCAAAATTACGCCGTACATTATTCACCTAAAATGCTAATAATTTTTCTTATATAGGCTTGTAAAGAACAAGTAATACTGCAAACTGCAATACTAAACTATTTTTATACCTAAATATACATATAAACATATTATATGCAACCCATAAATACATATTATGTACATACATTTGTATTAACACATATGACTATTATGCTTATCGCATTTGATTGCATTAGTAATTAAAAAAAAAAGTCATTATATTTTATGAAGAAACTGTTATAGTGAAATCTTTATGCATTATTTGTGTGTGCTATTAGCTCGAGCATTAAATAAATTTCTGAAAGAATGAATTTTAAATATAGTTATACATTAATGTACCCATAATTAACTACACATGTATTAAAATAAATTTTGAGACTGTTATACGGCTGTGTCAAAAAACATTTTCTATATGGAATTATTAGAACAAAAAGGAAAACGTGATAACTAAAGCCGATTTTTAACGAGCATTCGATTCGAAAAAAAAGAATCGAATAAAAAAATTAAAACTTCCAAATTATACGTTTATATTTAAGTATGAAAAAATACTACAAGTGCGTTGATAAGAAGAATAAAAATAAAGAAATATAACAAAATGGAAAAAACGATTAAAAAAAACGCGCGCGGTAAGAGCATTTTCGGTTGAAATTTAAAGCAAAATTTTATTTTTGGACCGAAAAGAAAAACGTAAGTATATAAGTAATTTGAAACTTATAGAGAGTGTTTTTGGAATAAATATGACGCTGTCAAGGCTCTTTGTATACATGTGAATTGGTATGTTGAATTTCTATATGTGTGTATACATAAGTACTTGCTTGCGTGTACGTATGAGGTCGTGATAAATTTGCGTTAGCTAGTGTGTGTGCATAAAACTAAATTGACAGATAATTCATAAATTTATTTTTCCTATATATAAGCAATATCCTAAGACTGTTCTATATATTTTTATAATTTTTGAAAATTTTGGCTTTAATTTGAACTTTTTATGGACTAAGTTATAAATGTACATGGCATTATCTGCTCTTTTCAAAAAATTTGTTTGAAAAATTTAATATTTCTATACACTTACAATCATGAGCAAACAAACACACGTATGTATGTCGTATTTCCTATTTGACAAACACATTTACATTATTTTATTTGTAAATAAATAAAAAGTTATTCGTACGTCATTAAATGAGTGAATAGGCAATGTAATAAAGTGAATAAATTTGCTTGTAAAGGAGAAAATGCGATAGCTATACGAAAATTCACAACTATAAACGTGTAAAAAATTAATTCACAAACAGTAATATTTGTGCATGTGTGTGTGCATTTATTATACAGCAATCGTAATTGCATTTACATAGACACAACCATACGCATACGTTAGTTATGTCACAAAAAAAAACATTAAAGCAAAAATCATCAAAAAGGAAAAATATTAAAATAAAACAAATAGAATAAAAAGTAAATTTAAAAAAAAGAAGCAAAAAACAAAAAAATTAAAAAATAAATAAGAAATTATGTAGTGGTAGTGCTTGCTTTAAATTCATACTGTAAATGTACAGAGTGGTTAAAAAACATTGTTATTCGATTGCTTAAACAGCAGATTACGAGTGTTTAGACGAAATGAACTTTAGACGGAAAAGTAAAACAAAGAAAACTCATCAAACCAATAATTAATTGAAAAAACTTAAAAACTAAAACGGCATCTTGACTAGCTGAGCAATATTATTTTACAAAAGAATCACCACTTCTTCTCCTTCCCATTAATGTGGAGCTTCAATTAGTCGACAATATCAAATATTTTGAAAGATATAAAGTGAGAGAATATATTAGGAGTCGATACCTAAAATATGAAAAACTGCCCCCCCCCCTTCAACTATTAACAAGAAAAAAATATCTTTCTTTACAGTGGTCGCTCAATTAACAAGTAAAGCTTTTGCATGTTTATTGGTATTCGTGTTACTACCCCACTTGAGCTGAAAAAAGTACAGGTTTCATGAATAATTAAATAATTATTTGTAGAAACAGACAGAATCAAAAAATACTATACTATAAAAAAATATCAGTTGTGACGTTCCCTAAGTCACACTGTATTTATTGTATACGTTAACGATATACCAATTATATCGTTCAGATAGTTAGTAAGGTATGTAAGATTTGCTCTTACGCTTATATTGTATAGAAGATGTATACCCTTGTATTTTTCTGATAAGGCTTTCTTATAGGTTATGATTTTTATGCCATTTTATTAACTGTCATTTTTATGTCAATTATTGTATATTTTGGTAACACGATTGCGCTGTGTTAATAGAACCGATATAAAGCTGTTCAAGCTGTCTAATGCAGCAGGTTCTCAGTGAAATTAATGTCTACTTGTTCCAATGCCCTCTTTTCTTAATTTAAATTGGAAGACGTTGTAAAATTAAATACTTTTTTGTTATTTTTTGCAAAATTTGTTAGTTCGACTCGTCAGATGGAATACTCTACTAAAAACTGTTGACATTTTTAAAACTACTTTTTAGTTTTATACACCAGATCATTTTAGAGATAAAAAAAATATGTATGAATTGCAATAACCAATGCCTCAAGGTTATGCTTCTCTATTATTCCAATAGTTCTTCCGACCAACTTCAAAA